AACACACAAATAAATCTTCTAGTTACCATTATCCGCAGATTCTATAGATGTTCTATATGACAGACGATATTTATAGAGTATTGGGATCGTTAGAACCAGGGTATATGCGAAATACGGTAAAAGAAACAGGAGACCTACTCCTGTTGGACGAACCCGGTGTTGCCTTTATATATCAATATCATACAAGCATAATATTTGGGATAACCTAATCTAGTCTACGTCGGCTTAGCGGCAAGGAGCTCTCACACGTAATCCACGACTAGTGTAGTCTTCTCCTCGAACATAAACCTTGCAAGATTGGAGGTAGTTCTAGATCCCTTATATATGTCATGTTCTATGGTTCCTACGTACATTGGGTTTGTCCTGATCTGTATTGGCTTATCTTTTGTTGGTGCACCCCCTTCCTTCTATGGGGTATTCTATTTATAGCAAAAATCATCTTCCTCTATAAGTAGAACTTGGAGATTTAGAACAGGATATGGACCAAGAATACTTTATCTTCTCCGACTAAGACTCTTAACACCTTCTATTTCGGGAAGATAATTTTCTTCTTTACCTGCCGCATTTCCTTAATCAAATAATACATTATGGTATTATACTAGGTATATGGTATCTCAGTATTGGAGGCATGTCTTATTCTTGACAATAATAGGTTCTAATAAGAAAATAGTTGATATTAGCACTACTAGAAAAAGCATTTTCGCCAACGTTAGGTATTTATTTTCGTAGGAGGATATGACCCTTAGAGTCAAATAGCCGCCTACAAAAAAGCAAATTGGGGTGAAGGGCGTTGTTCGCCTGCAAAAATCTATTTTCACAGGCGAACCACTTAAGCGGCGCCTGCGAAAATCATTTTCGCAGGCGGACCACATAAGGTGCGCTTGCGAAAATTAGCGTGGTATGTGTCACTTCCCCTCACTCTCCTCTTATCCTCTCCCCTCCCCTTCACCTCTCCCCTCTCCTCACTCTCCTCTTATCCTGTCCCCTCCCCTTCACCTCCCCGCCAGTGGAAGGGGCGGCCGGCGGCCGGCGGCGTCTCCCCTCCCTCCCTACCCTCCAGATCTAGCCGGAGAGGGGAGTGGGAGGCCGGCGGCCGGCGGGAAAGGGCGGACAGCGTCGGGCGAAGCGCGGAGCGGCGGCCGGGTGGCGGGGCGGCCGGCGGCGGCTCCCCTCCCTCCCTCCCCTCCAGATCTGGCCGGAGGGGGGTGGGGGGAGGCCGGCAAACGGCGGCAAAGGGCAGAAGGCGTCGGGCGCGGGGCGGCCGGCGGCGGCTCCTCTCCCTCCCTCCTCTCCAGATCTGGCCGGAGGGGGGTGGGGGGAAGCCGGCGGCCTGCGGCGTCGCACGCGGGACGACGCGAGGCAGCTGGCGGCGGCTCCCCTCCCTCCCTCCCTCCCAGATCTGGCCGAAGGGGTGAGGGGGGAGGCCGGCGGCGGGGTGCATTCGTGCGACGGCGATGACGACTTGCGTGGGAAAATTTGTGATTTGATTTGATTTGATTGTGAACCACTATGATGTATGTTAATCTGTGATGTTTCTATGTATTTGATTTGGTTTGATGTTGAATCTGGATGGGGGAATGTGAGGAGAATGGGAAGCTACTGCTACCGGCCGGAATGGCGGTGGGCGGTGGCTGCACATTTTTTTTTAATTCCAGGTGCTATTTTCGTAGGCGGACCAGTTGTCCGCTTGCGAGAATCAACTATTTTCACAATCATTCGGTTGCAGGCGGTGAACTGGTCCGCCTGCAAAAATCTGTTTAGGCCGCCTATGAAAAGCTGTTTTCTAGTAGTGTAGCTAAGCAAGATAAAACAAAATTAGTCAAGAATTAGTAAAAAAAAAGTTAATAATTTCAGAGCTACGAGATTTTCATTCCGAAGCAACGTTAGGAACGCCCCCACAGATCGATTGAGTTATCACATATGTGTTTTAATCTTATTGGTTAAATGCTTTATTAATCAAAAATTACATTTATATTGAATAAGTCGAATTAGAAACTAGTTAATTAGTCAATCTTAGTATTTAAATGCTAAATCACATATCAACTATGCAAATCATAAAATAGTTATACCCGATCAATTGGTTGCAATCGTAAATAATGTAATCACCGTGTTTAAATTGTGGCATAAACAATGCTCCTACTGCTCAATAGCTCTTGGTCTCGCCCAATTTGTTTGTTATCTTCCCATTTGGTTTTCTCATATGTATTGATCAATTACATATGTATCTTCTAATCTGCTCAGGTATGATTTGGTTGAAAATGATAAATCCAGGCAGCTTCCATGTGACTAATTTTTCGTAGGCTGTTGGTCCGGAATATATTAGTGAAATCATCTAAAAAATTATTGGAAATTTTACACATAGATATCAACTGATATATTTTTATATCATTTTATCTATTCATATGAAAATGAGTTTTCAAAATTTAATTGCAAAGTTGAATATTTAAAATTTGCAGCAAAATAATTTAAATTTATTAACAATTCTAACAATTAAATTATTAATTAAAAATATGTACTCCCGCTAATATGTGAATTTATTATTTAAGATTGTTCGCAGAAGCATATTAAAATAAATAAAAATGAAGAAAAGCAACAAACCTGATTTACTTGCAACATTGACTAAGTAAGGTCAACTCCTTTTCTCCTGATTTGCATATGCGCAGCTACACTCTTCCATGGTCGGTCATCTTGTCGCTAAACTCTTCTAAGTCTGTTTTACGCATGGCCATGTCCTCAAGTGCGTACAAGAGCGACATGTCGACACACATGCATGGAGCACCGAGCACCTCATAATTAAACACAAATAGAGATGGCCTGTTTTTTTCTTTTTGTGAAGGATGGGTTTGTTGAGGATTTCCAATTTCATAAAAATGAAAAAAGAGGCCATTTTTTTCAACTTAAGAGAAGATCATCAACGTTGATAAGATCATTATTAATCCCTCCGTTTCATATTATAAGTAGTTTGACTTTTTTTTTCTAATCAAACTTTGTTAAGTTTGACCGAGTTTACAGAAAAAATTAGCAACATATAAAATATCAAATGTAATGTTGAATATGTTTATTTTGTGTTGAAAATATTACTATATTTCTGTAAACTTAGTTAAACTTGAAAATGTTTAACCAGAAAAAAAATCAAACGAGACGGAAGGAGTATGTTTCCTGCCGTTAATTTTTTTCACCATAACATCACCAGCCAAACATCTGTATTAAAGCCTCCCACCCCCCCCACCCAAACCTGGCGCAAGAAATATATGCATGGGTGTCTACATGAACATCAAAACAATCGAATTAGAATCCGATTAACCGATCTTGACTTGTGCGGTTTGCCTTCGCTAGCTTTTCGTTCACGAATTCAATCGTGCATGCACGAGATGGAATTTTAGTTATTATTTTTAATTATTTGCATACAAGTATTTGCGTCTACGTGAATTGAGCGTAGCTCAACTCCCTCTGGTGGAACAAACTCACTTGGGTTTAAGTTCTAGACATAACATTCCAACTATAATTTTGATAAAAATGTTGTGCAAGTAAATATATATTAGTCACTACCAGGATGCGAAAGTTTCCCGTGTGCCTATAACACCCAGGAAACTAGGTGAAACACCCGGGAAAAATCTTCCCGTGTGTCAACACCCGGGAATGCTCACACGGGAGCGTTGAAGCTTTCCCGACTTGGATTCCCGGGTATCAGGAAGGCAGCGCTCAGGAAAGCTCTAGACATCCTGGGTGGTTAGAGCAGCACGGGAGAAAAATCTAACGCTCGGGATGTTCAACGGAACGGAAACGGCAACGGAATACTTCTCGGGTGTTGGTTCTTTTGCAACACCCGGGATGTTTCAGTACTACAGCTCAACATTCTTCCCGTGTGCTAACCACACCCAGGAAGTTTCAGTCCTACAGTTCACCATCACCCGGGTAGCAAAAATAATAAGCAATGTAATAGAATTGGTACAAGCACTCAAATATTCAGCAATGTAATACAATCAGTGCAAGTACAAAGCATAAACTGATCTGTACAAATGTTGATACCAGATATTTGTTTTAGTTGCACACATACATATTCAAACAGCCACAACCAATCTATGGAATACACACGAAAGTAATGTTTGCTCCTTCATATAGGTAGATTTTTTTCTAACATCATAAGTACCAGTTCTTGAATAATATCTGGGAGTCCATTGGATAGGTAGGACCAAAATAACATGAACTACATCCAAAAATCATTGTTCCAGATCTTGATGTTTGGATGGATTTCTGTAGCAATGAATCATGGCTGGCAATTGGACGCACTTGATCTTAGATGATGGCTGAAAAATTATAGTGTGTTAGAAGGTGCTGATAAATATTGTATAGAATATATTGCCAGATAAATATTGCTATAGCATATTATGAAAGTTTAAGAGTGCACATTGTTAGATTCATGCCTAGATGGATTAGAATCACAAGCCCAAAGACAATTAACAGTACAAATGTCAAGCATGCCATTTGTCTAACCAAGTGGTTCCTACTTGTCCTGTACAAAGAGCCCAGTTAGCACAAACCAGGTAGAAGATACATAAAGAACTAGATTGAACTACAGCTAGCAACTAGATACATGCATCAAATGTAATTAGTCTTACTTCTTAGGTACCTATGCATTTTACCTATTCAGATTAAACTATGTGTTATATCTCAGGCAACTGTTTACATATTGAATGCATTCAGATTATATGCTTTTTCGAAGATGGAACTATCCGGTAAAAAGGTCATTAATGTTGGTATAAGATTGCTCACCTAAATAGACAGTGGGGCATGTTGGGGCCGCTGGTCGTGGAGGCAAAACATTAAGTTTCATTGCAGATTGAAGCGCCTGAAATTTATTTACACATAACAATGCAAATAGTTAAATTTATACATGTTGATGAATTTTAAAATTAATAAGTACATAAAGGAGGCAAAACTACAAGTTACCAGCTGTATCGCAGATGTTAAGTAACATGTTTCATGTTGCCAAGCCTTACCATCAATGGGTTATTTCATCAAATCAGGACTTGCACCATGCTTTTCCTTAACAACTCCAAAATAAGCTTCCTGCATGATAAGTTGGGTGTTTATTCAAATGGAAAGAGATTAAAAAGTTGTTGATCAAATTTTGTGCAAGCTAGAGTGCAACTACTTACAAGCTTATCCTTGACACGGTCAGTACAATAGTCCTCTCCATCTTTTCCACTCTTCCTTGCTTCTGCATAAGCCTCAAATATACCCATTGGCCTCTTCTCCTTCTTCTCCTTCATGAAACAAAATAACAATTGGATTATTTTAATCTATAAAATACATTTCAAGACTTTATGCCAATATGTGAAAAGTGATTTAAGTTACCATGTTCTTTTGGAATCGGTCAAGTGAAGCGCTGCCTTGACGGTGTGCTGGCCCATCCATCATTTCCCTGTATACCCTACCTTCGCATGACTTTTTTATCCACTCTTCATTACACCAACGCAGTTCCGCACACAACTTCCATTCTTCCGGAGTCTTTTGAGCCCACCAATACACAAATTCAGTGATAGAAAATTCCTCGGATTAGTCAACGAGTAAAAAGAATTCATACTACAATGTCCACTTCTGTTGTTCTACGTTCAGCACTTTAATGAAAACTAGAATATCTCTCTAGTGTTAAGCTGAAAAACTAAAATAATGGCAATACATCGCTAGTAATCAGAAGTACAAGTCTTAACAAGTAAAAATCTACATGGCCAAGATAACTAAAATGAGAAGCATAAAATGAAGTAAATATTAGCCATATCACAATGCATTAAACATGTCAAGTTTTTTTTACCTTGCTTATGATCTGGATGACCAAATCACTCTCTGAACAAAAAAAAAAAAAAATCAGTGAACGGATATGGCTGGGTGGGAACAACCTGCAAATCATCAAAATCAAGCACATTATATGACACAGAAACTGAATCTTCATTACATCGAACAAAACTAGAGGGAACTAAACTGAGGAAAATCAAAATAAAACATAAATACCAATGAAGCCGAGGAGGGTAGAGGAAGGCCTGGAGATGGAGTATGCCTCGGCCTGGTGGATGATGGCTGAGGTGGGGATGAGCTGAGTGGGGGAAGAGGAGGTCCAAAGGGGCGACGGCGGAGGCGGCGATGGACGGTGGAGGCGGCGATGGACGACGGAGACGGTGGGGGAAGAGGAGGATTAGGCAGGGAGGTGGGTGGAGGAGTTGGTCGGCGTTGGGGTCTGGCGTGGGGGAGTTGCGTGGAGGAGTTGGCCGGCGGCGGTGGAGTGGCGGCGGCGGCAGCCTCGCGCGCAGGATGGCGATGCCGCGGAGTCGCGCGCTGGCGGCGGAGTTAGGGATTTCTCAGATTGGGGATTTCTCGGGAGAGAGATGGAGTCCGAAAAAAAAAATCGGAAGACAAGGAATAAAAAAAAAATCGGCGCTCCGGGGGGATGGGGACTCATGTACGCGCCAATATTTTCATCTGACAAGTGGGGCACAGTACGTTGCAACAAATCTCACGTTATCTTGGACGGAAACCGTTGCCACATATCTTCCCGGGACTTATCCAGGCATCCCGTGTGCATTGTCCCACGCCTAGGAAGCTTCCCGTGTTCTTTGTAAAACACCCAGAAATACTTTTTGACACCCGGGAAAGTTTGCCATCCTGGTAGTGAGTTATTTTATTTAAAATATAAAATTACAGTACTATATAACTAAAATCACATTTGTAAATTCAATTGATATAATATAATATGTAAGTGTACTGTAATTTTGATAAAAATATTGTGTAAGTAAATATGTATTTGTGTACTCCGTTCGATGTAAATTTAAGGGTAGAAAAAATTTGGGTGTTCTTTTTTTTATTGTTAAAAATCACCCGATAAATGGATAGGCAGTTCCACTAATCAATGATTAGATTATTCTGATTAATGTAGGAGATAGTAGAAAATGTTCAATTAATAGAAAATATTCAATTAATATATGGACGTAATAAATTCAATAAGATTTTCTGAGGCCCATAAATTTAAATCAATATACATATTAATGTACTGCTAAGATAATACGATAAAAGGTCAATATTTTTTATTAATGTGGGAGCTCGTAGAAAGTGTCGATTTATAGTATATGTAGGTGTTGATAGATTTTTGCATTTAATTTGTACATGTTTTTTCAGCCAATTACAACCTTCTACCAATCATTTTAACATATTGTTTTAATACTTATGCCCATGTATAAACTTGCATTTTGGACGGAAAGGTCGTAGTACTTACGTGTCGATTGCATGCATATGCACGTGCTGTTGAATGGGAATAACAAATGCATTAGGTACGTTCGTGGTTCCAAAGTGACAGCATATACCGGCCGTTTCAAATTACTTGTTGTTTTACATTTGTGTTAAGATATGCATTTTAATTAACCATCAAAATTTTAAACTTATATGGTTTAGCACCACAATATTTTATATTTTTTATTTATATCATGTGAGATATTTTCATGATTAAATATAATTCACATGTCAACTATAATATTATAGACATGTTTAACTTTGAATAAAATTAAACGATAAGTACTTTATTCGGAAGGTGACAAGTTGTCGTAAACTTGTCATGGTTGCCGGTTTACGATTCTACATCGTAACATGAATTCCGTTGGATACAATTATGTGACATGCGATTCTAACAAGAATTTAGTGAAATCGTCATGTATACTCTGTAAAGGTAGGAACTTAATTACCACTATCCTATATAAGTAAGTCTCTATTAGTACGTGCTAAAAAAATGCATTCCTGCTCGCGGCCGGGGTGTACATGCATGATGTCAAACACAAATAAATTAATAATGACAGTAACTCGTTTGCTGATCTCACTTCTGACCAGGCCGCCATTCAAATGCCTGTGGAGGGTTATAATTTTACCGTGTTGCAAAGCTCAAATTCAGTGTTCTCCACAAAGGTCACATGTTAATTCAGTCTTCAGAAAGATATGAAATCAAAATAAGTCCTTGAATTCTGCACAAATTAACAAACCAGTGCAGACAAGTTAACAGAAAGATGCTGATTTAAAAGTCAGCAAGCTACAGCTTTGGAAGAGTCCCCATGGCTCCTACGAAGTAACTATTAATATATTTCACTATATATACGGCTCGGACAATATATATATATCTGGCGTTTTCTACAAATAGATAAACATGATCAATATTGTACAGCTTTATTAGATTATAATAAAGGTAATTAAGCAATATGTCACAATGCATAGCACGGCCCACCAACCTTAGGCCACCCAGGTCACATTGGACGAGCTCCACTACAGATCCAACCAGAGCTACAACTTTAGGCGAAGTCTATGGGTGATAATTACCTTCACCTTTATGTTGTGCTCTAACGTCATCAATTACCGATATAGGACTAAACTCAATAACCTCCTCCGTCAAATCAACCCATGTGACCACGAGAACTTCTTACCTGGCCTCCCACACCATGTGACCCATGAAATTTATTTCGGGTTTCAAACCTATGCTCTGAAACTAGTTGTTACATTGCGCACCTCGTCCTGCAACTGTGGTCCACCCAGGTCATATTGAGCTTGCTTCACCACAGGTCCAACCGGAGCACAACTTTAGGTCCTGTGTCCACACAAACCAAAAGACTAATATGATGTGTAAGGATTGTATTGTCGTCTCCCTGTTCAAACCGCTTCTAATAAAACCGGTCCGAAATTACCATCGAAAACGAAACACAGAAGAAAAACCATAGAACATCCAGTACTAAAGACGACACCGATGCACGATATTTGTTAACGAGGTTCGGCCGAAGCCTACATCCCTAGGGCAGTGGCTATGGGTACCTCTCCCCGATCCAGCATATTATAGTGTATCCGGGTATCCACGATCCTCGATCCATTGGCTTGGCCGCTGGTCAGTCGTCCCTAGTCCTACACTACCGTCACCCTTGCTGTTACAACAAGTTTGCTCCTCCATTTATGAGAGAAACTAGGACTGCTGTCACCCTTGCTGTTACAACAGGTTTGCTCCTCTATTTAAGAGAGAACCTAGGACAGAGTCCGACTCTTAATCTATTCCTAACACCTAGTACAACTCTAATTTCTAAACTGTAACCGACTACATACACATATTTGACACAAGCTTGAACAGACTCCGTCTAGGCGAATATGCCACGTCAACTTGAATTTGCTCCACGTGCGAACCTCTGTGTACCAAGATTTGAGATGGCTACTTTTTTCGCCGCTCGCGCTGAGTTGCCCTAACGAACATCCACTAGGCTCACTTTAAAAAGAGACTCCGCTATCCCTGTAACTTCTTCTTCTTGACTCCACCTGCAACAATGTTTCACCTTCTTCCATATCATTACAGTCGTCTTGTCGACCAAATTTGAATTCCTTCCTAGCTATCACATCATAGACTCTCTAAAAACCATGTTCATCTCCATCTACATATCTCTCCACGTATGGGTACATCGTAGAGTTACATGCCAAACTCTTCTTGGCAAACTAGGGGAGAGCCGATGCATAAATGTCACGACCGGAAATAACCCAACGGGCGTTCCTTATGTGCGTGTATTATTCCTTGTCCCAGGAGGCAAGGTACACTAAAAGTCGATACAATTCAGAGTTTACAAGCGGAAGCGTAAATAGTTAATTATTACATGGGCAACGAAGGCCCAGCACACACGAAGACAACGAAAAACAGTGGAAGACTAAGGCGACGACCACAGGCGCTTGACGGCAGGCACGAGCTAGACACCAAAGCCTTCATCATCCAGGGGCTCCTCTTCTGGGTTTGGGAAAAATTGAGCAAGACTGAGTACAACCACCGTACTCAACAAGACACACCCACAAGTGCAACATAAATGCAAAGGAGTACAATGGAGTTATAGTATAGGGGTTAGGTTTTGCAATAAACAGCATTTAAAAGACTCTTAGTTGCTCAAAGCTAAATTTAAAACACGATCCTGGAACTATTTAATATTATTAAACAAGGCCGTGAACCCACACGAACCTGCCTTAACCCAAGGCCTACGATGATTCAGACCGAACTGGCAACCCGACCCTGGGTCCCAGCTCGTCCCAAGCCAAGCCAGGCCAACCATTTCACATTTTAGTTATTAAGCAGGTTTTAAGAATTAAAAACACTAACTTGGGTACATTGCTAGGCTTGCCTATAACCGAGGGCGCGGCTATTCGAATAGGTTTTACTCTGATCAGAGGTGTACATCTTTACCCACAAGACACGTCTTCCTCCCGTGCAACCACGTACCACATACCACCACGGCATATGGACGGAAGACATGATATAGTTTCCAACCCATCCTAGCCATAGACAAGAGTACCGACCCAACCCCACCTACGGCCGGAACCTCCGGGACAGGTAGGTAGGACTGAGCCCCTAGCAGCAGGACACCGGCCCTGTGCCACGACATCTCGACTACCGGGCCACAGCTCGTGTAGCCTTCATTTGCCCTAGAGATGTCCATCGACCCCCGACTTCGTCCATCTCCATCCATGTACTTTTGTTTATAACCAGACTGAGCCACAAACTAAGCCTTACCCACTAGACATGTGGACGTACGGTAGTACTTTGCAACAGAGGCCCGAAGACCGGTCCTTATGTGGCCGGGATGCTACTATCAACACCATGCACCCCGAGCCCAGCCTAAAACCATTTTGAGGGTTTTGAATAGAGGGGGAGGTGTGCATCCAGTTCCACAATAGTCCAACCATTCCATAATGTCCAAGTGATATGAATATTCCCAAAGTCTAAAGTTATAAAACCACCTAATGTTGGCCTATTAATCAGCGAAGCATCTACCTAATTTCATACTAGGGGAACCATGAGTAGAGTGCCCACTAGTTGGGGTTTTGTTTATTCTAGGGTGTACAAGGTAATAATAACAATAACAACAATAATAAGGTCATAACAAAGGTAAATAGGCATGGCTAAATAAAACAGTGATAATGCGGGAATTTAAATAAAGCGATAATGCAATAATTTAAATCAAAGTAATTTCACAAAGTGGGATCCGATATGTTCAAAGAATGATGTGACTTGCCTTGCTCGCTTTCCCAAACGTCGGCTTCAACCTCCACGAAGAGCGGATCTTCCGAAGCTGCATCGTCTACACGACCAATGGAAAAGGAAAAGGCTTTTACTCTAATAAACTCCATATAACAAGCAGGAACAAAGCACAAAAATGGGTTCTTGACTTCTTAAGGAAAAATTAGAGACTTCAACGGTCCAATTCCGAGTTCAAATGGCCAAGTTATGGCCATTTGAAGTTTATATGCTCTTTAAATGAATATTTACTAATTTAAATTTTAATTTAAAAGAGATTTATTGCGTCAGCCGGGGGAGAGGGGCGCGTGGACCGGGTCCACGGGAGTGGGACCCACGCGGCAGCC